GAAGCAGTACTAGGTGTTCAGGATCTTTTCCGATCTGAACAAATGACAGTTTCTGATTTGGCTTCTTCAACAGCATATCTCTTCTTATTCAACAGCCTGTTCATCAGATACAAACTTAAATTGATCACTGCATTACACCATTCATATTATTTCACTACAATTTACGACAGACTTGGTACCAGGAGAGAGCCACATAAAATCGCATAGCTTGTGTGAAAGCTGCAATACTAGTTGGATATTCAGACCGAAGCTAAAGAAGGACAACCGCCGAGTCTGTGACTTGAAGTCTGAGCAGCATCAGAAGCTGTGTTCCCGTCGTTCCTGGTGGCTAAAACACGACCATAACCAATTCGATACAATCGGATTCGTGTACACGTATGCACACCATAGGTTAAGAATCAGGGTTTTCCAGTTTCTTTAGATATACTCGGATGTCCACCAGTTCGGTTGTAAGCTCCTGACTTTCGAATTCGCCCATTAACTTATGTGAAGAACACCCCTTTGACGTAAAGGAAGTGAATACGACTTCTCTGACAGAGGCTATAAAGGCGTGGCCATATTTTGAGAGAAAGACCGGAGTCTATGTACCCTCGGTCCGCCGTACTAAATTGTTAATACGAGCTTAGGCCCATTCGGCTTAAAAATGGTTTGGACGGAAAAGTACTACAATTAACAATATTATTATTATTATTATTATTACACGAATCGAAATTGCTGCAAACTAATAATTTGGTCACCAACCGACATCAGTTGGTAAAACCAGTGATAAGCAAAGAATACTGAAAAGGTGCTTAGTTCTACTTTAGGACCCTTGAGCAGTGGATGGAACCCACAATTGTCGGCTTACAAAATGGGTCGGAAGTCAGTAATCTACCTCCATAGGTCAATTTCAATGAATAACCAGTACAACAATCTGATCAAGGTTCCTTCACATACAACGACCATGAAGATTGGTTCTCGTAAGGCGTGCGGAGGAGAGACATGAAAGCAGAGCTTGCATTCACCAGAAGTTAGAAGCCTAGTAACTTATCCGAGACACTGTAAACCACAGTGGGAGCGGTACATACCTTCTATCTGGTCTGAGACTACTCTACCGTGAATACGTACACGACAACATTTTACTATATGGTAATATAAAGGCTAAATAAATTCCACTTGATGAACCGGTGACCAGTACATCTGTAAGTATTTTAGTGGCAGAATCCTCATGTCAACCACACACGTGACCGGGGTTCGACTTCCGACCAACCTACTACTACTGCCTAACCTATAATAAGTCCTGTAAAGCGACGGCAGATTTACCTCTTTGCCACCGTGCTTACTAATGGCTAGTAAACAAGGCAAGATTCAAGAGTGCATCAGCAAGGTATTCGAACCCGGAACACGTACACAGTTGACGAGCGTTCTACCATTGAATAACTACCGACACATACATCAACTAAAAAACTGTTGGGTCAACATCTTGACAAAGTAAACATATGAATTTAAACAAGTATTTGAAATGAAATAGATACACCAATTCCATATGTCAACACCTTAAGTTACCGCAGAATTTGTTACAATTGTCAGGAACCAGTCAAGAACTTATTGGCGTAGTTGTGTTCTTTGAACTGGATGGTTTAATTTGCGAAGCTTTCATTGCCTTTCTAGACAACATTAAACACACTTCAATTTAAGGTGAGCTTTTTGATTTGATTCTCCACAAGTTTAAATTATTTATCCCTCCCGGGAACACCTTGAAAGTGATGGTTGGTGGAAATTTCATCAAATAATTAGTCAACATTGTATTGGTACCGATTATTATTTTGTTGACCTGAAAAAGTTGACCTTTTGTCCACATGAATTTCCTTTTGTTGATGAATGAAACCTTTGTATCTATGTCATTGTGGTCTATAGATCACAGACTTGTTAGATGACATCCATCACGCTCCCGGCCCTCGAACGTAACCCAAACGGGAAGTGTCGAGTTGAGCCTCCAAGGTTGACGCGCAGAAGATAATCTGAGTACGAAATGCAAGCTTGTGGTGAATAGTCTTGAAGCCACGTGAGTGTTCAGAGTGTAATGTAGATTTTCCACGCTGGCGGCCTTACTCTCCACTGGGAAGGCAACCAACGAAAAATAATAATAATTATTATAATAATAATAATATAGACGCTAACTTGTACAAAATCAACTCACTATGAAAGCTCTTCACACCGAAATGTAGATAAATAATTTAAATTGTAAAAAAACGTACTTAGATACAACAACTTCAGAAAGTACTTCATCGAAAGTCTTCTGGGTTTCACCATTAAATTTAACATTTCCCTCTATTGGGATAAACTTAATGACGACATGCTCAGATCGGCGATTCCCAGTCGAACATTGGAATACTTCACCAAAGCATCCTTCACCGATTTTTTTCAAACTTTTTCGTCGACTATCAAATTTCCAACAACAACAAAATATATTTGTTTATCACATTTAACAGGATTCAGAGGAAAAATAAAAATTACACAGATTTTTGTGTAGGAAATAAATTTTAGAATATGGTAAAATTAAGTAAATTTCGAAATGAAATTTGTAGGGAATTCGAAAAACGGGTGATCAATAATTCAGATTGTCGCAGATGAAGAGGCATTCACTCCTTTTACCTTTCCCATGTATCTTCACAACGCCGTATTATTGATTTGCTTTCTTTGACATCCAATCAATCTCCCTGCTAATTGATGTTTTATGCCAATGACCAACTCTATACATTTATACACTACTGATAAATCGTATCAGTAGCACTGCGAACAACAGGATACAAACGTTAAATTGACTTACACGAAATAAGGCGGAACAACTGTGGCGTGTGCTATTGACAAGATGCAGACTGATAGGAAGTAGCCAAAATTGAAAACAATAGAAGCATTTATTTCTCAAATCTGTACCCAGCTTACGTCGTGGTCAGGAAATCATCTCAATGTTTGACCTTCAGAAAATCAGCAACCAATCAAAACAGTTTATTGCCCGTTGGCCTAGCCGATCGTAAATGTGGCTAAAAATATGAAAATATGATGTATTTCTCCTCAATAGGAAAGTTCGTTACCAAGTCTCTTGTCATTTCCCGTTCACAATCTATCACCAGACAAGAAACTATAGCCCAAATAATATGTTGTAAGAAACGAAAATCGATTGAAGCAACGAATTGAGCACGTGAGAGTGACATAGGGGATATTATATGAATAGTGGTGTAAGGAAGGAAAGACCGATGAGGCTCAAAGGATAAACTCATTGCAGGTACATCAATTTAATATACTATACATCTAATGCTTTATTTGTACATTATTTGCAAATCGGTCGAATATCACCCACCACATTCGACAGCTTGTTGGATTATGTACAGTGTTTGCAACGTTCTTCACACACTTCTTTTTTTTCCAGTGCCCCAAAACGCATTGTTACTTTTCTGAACTCATTTACTGATATACTACTTATATCCGATTATAAGTAGCACACACCACAGTAGTGATCATAGAACCCGTTAAAAAAAGAAATGACGGCAGGGAAATGAAAGGGCGATGAAGAGGTGCCTTCTTTGCCTCTCAGAGAACCCAAACAACTAATACTAACAACAATCACTACTACTTCAAACAAATCTTATTATTTCTCAGAAATAAGTGTAACTTACGCAGGTGCAAAAAGCTGACTAAATGTTTTGTAATCAGTTTGTTCACAAATCTTTAACAACGCTCCTTTAGCATCGCCGGCTTCAAGTAATTCCTATACAAACAATTAAGATACATTGAAAATAGTTTCAATGAGATTGAATGACAACCTCTCATTATTGACTGACCAAACAATTATTTCCCATTGATAAACTTGAACAAAAAAAACAACAACAATAACCTGATATTTCAGGAGAGATCTAGAAATGTTATCAGTTGGTGGAACCAATGCTCAAGTGACAAATAAGCTCGCTTAGCAACCCATAGGACCTGGGTTCACACAGTCATCGGTGGAGTCACGGAAGGGTACTGATGAAGAGTCGCAAACCAGGACGTAACAGATATCCAGTATACTCCCTGCTTGTTTTTTTAATGCCTCTCTAACCGATATCACTTCATAACTTAACTTGAAAAAGCCGATCAAATCCCTGTAAATCAACACTTGAAAAACATTGGATATCACACTTTATTTGGTCGGATCTTCTGAACAACTGCATACAACCTTAAACACTTATAGTAGTGTCTAGGCACGAAATATTTACATACTTTAGTTATTTATATCACGGAGATTGAGGCCACCAGTGTTATGTAATTCAATATATGAAGGATAAGTTAAAAAGCAAGGCTAACAAGTGTTAGTAAGCGTGCATTGGATAATATCAAGTTGCATGCAGTTGAAGATACCAACAAAATAAAATGATATCTTTGTGTTATTATTACTTCCTTGGGATCCCAGGGGAACATACAGCTTCAACAGCACATCTCCATTTTGTCCTGTTATCTTCAATTGACTCCACCATTGCCCACACGCTTCCATCCCTTCCTCTCACACCATCTCCTTCATATCACGATCAGACCTTGATCGAACTCATCGTTCCCCATTTGGATTTCAGTCGAGGGTTTGTCTGGCTCGCGATGTCATCCGACAGCCTCACCAGGATATGTTCGACCCATCTCTATTTTCCCCGGCGTATACTTGTTGAGCAATAGATTGATGGTTGGTTCGTTCCCAGAAAGTTTTTGTTGCTTAGATTTTCTGGTCAGTCACCTGATCTTCAGTATGGAGCCAGAGAAAGCACTTGTTGGTAAAAGTCTTATTATCATACTTAATTAGTTGCTTATTCTTTGTTCAAGTGTTCATCATACTTTAAATCAGAACAATCGATTAGAATCTGAGTGTTCTGTAAATAGGTGCTCACTCTCTCTCTCTAACTGATGTCACTCCATGGTTAAACTGAAAACAATTCAAATTCCTACAACAAACTAACACTTGAAAAATAATTGTAACAACTGAACAAATAACTTACCGTGTATGAACGATTTAATATCATGTTTTCATGACGAAACTGTCGAGATAATCGTTTTGTGTACGCACTCGACTTTTTCCCAGATCCTGGGCATTGAAATTGATATTGTTGACAGTCTCGTCTGTGTTCATCTGAAGGATTATATGGTGACAGACGAGAGGGATTGGAAGAATAGATTGGAGTGAGTTGACCAACCTTTATTCAAAAATAAACAAATAAGTAAGTGAGTAAAATACAAAACTAAAACTGTGGCACTGGTCTACTGACAAGATCTGTAAGTAGTATATAGACACAAAAATATGTATATCATCTGCGAGAATTTCGAATAGCAGAGAGAAAGATTTAATGCTGAAGTGAAATGAACGATGCCTGTGAAGCATGGAAGGAAGACATAGGAGCACCCATACACAAGGTTAAAGTCACACAATACGAAGATAGGTGTAAATTGTGATTATACATAATATAGTAGTAGACGTATTTTGCTTATATCTGTACATCGAGTTGCTATTAAAGGCAATTAAAGTAAAGAATAGATACCACAGTCATATGAACTTGAAATAACCCATCAGTTTAGCATTTACAGGATATATAAACATAATAAAAATGAATCATACAGTGTATATGACCTCCCCCTCCACGCAATATATTGTGAAAACAGGTCCCATTTTCTCATTGGAATGGTTACTGACATATGCCAGTTTTGGTATATAACCCAAACTCTCGCATAGCCTGCAAGTGCGACTTTTATATACAGCGAAGGCAGCCGGAATTCATTTGCACAAGCAAAATTTGTGTTCAAAAGAAATTTGTACAGCCACTTTCTGAGCACTGTTCACTAATTGCGGCACCTTCTGTCAACTTACATCATGAGAAATTTGCAAGGACGTTGAAACTGTTCTGTACATAAACCTCAAAGTTTATCTAGGCTGTGAGCAGCTGATGGGAAGCCAACGAAATTAATGATGGTACTATATCATTCTGCAAAAACCACTGTTGTTCTTGCATTATTCAAATACATAATATGTATTAAGTTTTTAGAAATGATTTTCTCCCCTTGTAACTTATGTTTCCACATTGTTATTTTCACAATTCTAGCTAATTCCATTAACTTGTTTGTATTTTACGTAACTCTTCTGAGTCATCCTTCTCTTAGTAGTCATCATGGCTATTTTACAAATTTCTTGATTATGTAATAAATTGTTGCTAACCCCAACAAATTAACTTATCTTGAAATCCGTGATTAATTAGCTAATAATTTTAACCGCTCCCTCCTTCAAAACTTCGATATCATGTTTACTAACATCCACTAGTTGATTTTTTCCATGACTTTTAACCTGTTAATTTCACCCAGCCACTCCCAACACGACAATACCTAAAGCTGATGGACTAAAATAACCACATGGTTGGTAAAATTTTTATGTAAAAAACTACATATATATATATATACATCAGCAGTATAGAGCCAGGTGATAATGAGGAACTAATTTCAAAGGAATATAATTCTTTGCTCACTTTGTTGTTGCTTGAAACATTAACAATACATAAGGGCTAAAAGGGAGTCGATACGAAAGAAATGCTATACTACTTACCACTTTACGGTTACGTAATGAAAGAGAGTAACGTATTGCGTTATTAGATGCATCCTTTAGATCATAATCCACCTGTGATGAAGTCTTTCTTATTTCACAGGCTGCTAGTGAATTACTTCGATGTTCTGGTGCCACCTAAAACCATATTATTTTATAAAAACACAAAAATGTCATCTTAGAAATCACCCAGAACAAACAAATATGCATTCTCTTAATGCAATATATAATACAATAAGAGTTAATTAGTAATTTTATTCAGTAAGATTACAATAGTCTTTATTAAAGCATCAACACAACTATCTCCAATAGTTTTAGACACAATTCTGTGATTCACATTTAACGTTAAAGTTAAACTTTAAGCACCACTAACTACCAATCAGCGAATGACCTCGAATGCACCAACCACGTGGAGGCATTTTTGTGTATGCAATACATATATTTATGGGGGAAAAATGCATAAAAACTGTAGGAAAATGTTACAGAAGATAACTTCCTCTCACATGTGATAGAAATAGCTCTCAGTTTTAGGTTGAAGTATCAACAGAGTATAATTCCCTTGTGGGTAAAATTTATTTCGATATTTTCATAGTGTAATACAGTAATATTCACTGAGCAATAAATTCTGCTCGAAACGTCATCAGTACATATTACTGCATAACAATGTGTGATTTTATCAAAAATTGTTATCCATAATGGAGTTATACTCTACCACAGTGCACAAGTTTTATTCTTATATCAATAGAGTAATTAAACCACATTCTATGCATGTAATCATTTAGTTATTCTAACCCTACCAATAACCATGATTTTTCCTGAACCTAACCCTAACGTGAAAATGTCCTTAAACTAACTGTAATCTAACTTGGATCAACCTTAATGTCGCCTTTATTCCGTTAACCTAACTCTAACTTGTCCTTGGCCTAAACCGTAACTGAATCTTTCCCAAACCTAAGCTGAAACTTGCCAGATATCCCATTTAGTGGCAAAACACTTCGATGAGCATATTTTATTAATGATGACAACGTTATTTGTTAGGTTTCACTAACTTGCTCAGTGAGCGTTACAAGGCCATTGATGCGGTTGCACTCCATTGATAGTTAGTGGTGCTTAAAGTTTAACTTGGCCAATTAGGCAAAATTACTAATTCACTCAAATCAATAAGAATAATGTTATTTCCAGCGGAACATAAACATAGAGTGATTATTTCTTTTCAAGTTAGATTACGAACTGGAATCAGTGAGAGAATCATTGGAAACTAGGGAGCATTGGGCAGCTGTTTCACCATATTTTGGGACTGTTCACCAGTGACCACTAATACCTCCTCTCAACTAGAGATAAAACCTAGGACCTTTAGGACACAATGCGAGCCCATTGATTATTCAGCTACATCGGTAGAATTGAATGGCCTATGAATTCAAACACCTGCTAATTTGTGATACATAGTGCAACCACCAGCCAATGGTATCAGTGAGTATATAATCCCCTCAATACCCCATTTCGGTGGATTCCACTGGTCATTATTACTGCTCACTAGAGCTCCAAGCAACTTCATTCTGTAGTCAGTCACTATCAAAAATAGAAGGCTTCCTCCCGACCGATAGCTGCTACATTGACGTGGTGATCAGGCTTGCACATCGCAATGACCCAACAAGCTACACTGGCTGGAACCAATGTTCCTGCAGGATAGCGATTAGACTAAAAGCAGTTACCGGTATTGTGTGAGAATCTCTCTTACACTAAGCTGGGAGTCTGAGGGCGAAGTCGTACTGCTGGGGAACAGGGTTGTAACAGCAGTGAGGTGTTTCCCTCAGATGACCAACATGCCAGCTGTGCTGTCTCTCCACTCCGGAGAGCGGGGTTGGAAAACGTCGACCCGTACGATTGTACATCCTGACTTACCCTACGGTGGTCCGTAACCGGCGGTAAGTTTACTAATACGGAACCAAACCAAGAAACCAGTTGATACAGGCATTGTGTGACCGGCCTAAAGCAGTTGTCCCCTGGACTCAGCGATCACGCAACATCAACCCTCTCTCTGTTTTAGGTACCCGAAGAATCAAACAACTTCCACGGTGTGTGCAGCCGGGACCACTGCCTAAATCGAAACATTCATTCTCAATCTCTGATTCCACAGCTAATCCTTGTCTATGTGTGCATGTCATTCTCAGCACTAGCCTCCCCGGAGTATACGACCCATCTGCTGTCTTTAACATCAATCAATTCACTCACAGATGTAGAAGACTCGAAACAACTTCACAAGTAAGCACGACGGAAACTCTAACAAAATTATACACTACAACAAAATACGAAACAACAAGTAAACACAGTGAATCCAAAAACACCAACCGATATGACACACCATGCATATATACAAACAGTACATATAACCTCGCAGACCATGTCTTGATGGGCTACCCTTAAAGAACTGCAGGACTTACAGCAGTAAGCCTACACTCCCCAGGTTGGCGATCCAAGTGGAAAGAGGTCCGGACAAAAGCAAAATTAACCAACACACAGATGAGGGGTAATACCAAATCAATATATACAACAAGAACATATGTACAAAACAACACACCAAGTACGATGGATTGCGCTTCGATGTACTACCCTTGAAGAATTGTAGGACTTACAGCAGTACGCCTACAACCCTTCTCAGGTTGACGCCCTAAGTTGGGAAATCGCCACAGAGTTCATTTGCTGACCTCCTTCTATCATCTATATACTCAACTCTGAATGGTGACACGCCCATTACATTGTATCGTGGAATGTAGATGACTAACATACGACGTACCTGACCAACCAAACGAAGGCACAGAGTAATTTACACCAAAGATAATAACATTCAAATGGTAACTTGAAACCTGAAATACTTTTATTCGTGCAAGTCAGTTTAACAATTACCCTCTCGTACACAGTTAGCTTATCATCACTAAACTGACCATTCACTTTCGTCCTTTCAAACGGACCGATACTAGCATAATCACAGCATAAGACACATGGGTTCATGGACAGCCCTTTCACGGTGAATGACAACACCAACGACGATTGACTGATACAAGATCATGAACTTAGCGGTGCATCAGAAGCTGTTGTTGTTTGACCTTTAGAAGGTTGTGTAACCGCAGGATTACCACCACTGCTATGTTTTATGATTAGCTCCAGTTTAGCACTAACATCTGTCGATAGGTGGACTACACACGGATCATTTACACTAACGGTCTCATGAGCATCCATACTTTCTACCACCACATCTGCCACTTCACGTTCAAGTTGTAAAGAACCTTTGTTCGACTCCGTAGTAGTAGGCATTCCGCTCGTCTCATCATGATCAGCCAAAAACAAATGTGCACTATCATGATGCAGATCTGTTGAACCGCTACCTCCTTTGTCTGTTGCCTTACAGTTCAACCTTGTGTGTCCCACCTTTAAGCAACTAAAACACAACCGCTTCTGTTTGGCCATTCTCAATCTTTCTACAGGAGACATTGCAATGAAACGATTACAATCACTAAGCTGGTACGTGTTACGGCAAATGATACACTCTTCCTTTCTCGTCGTACCTTGTGCATTCACTACAAGTGACTTCTTTATATTTACTGATTTCTT